GCTTGTAGATTTGTCTTTGACACCCATCGCTTCCATGGATTGAAAGTGTTTCTCCAGAAATTGCAGGAATTCCTTGAGTGTTTGTACCTCCCGTGGCTTTGATAATGATTGTTCGTACCGCAAACGAGTCGGTTGATCCAGTTTCTTTAGTAGAAGGGGGAGCAGAAGTGGATCCCATGTTTATGTGTCTATCTGCAAATTTTGCAATGCTAATAGACATTCTTGTGTTGTGTCATGCAGTTTTTTGACATTGTCCATTGATGTGCTTCCAGGTGTAGTAGTTAGCTCATGTACTAACTTGCTCACCAGCAAGCGTTTGTTGTTGTAACGCTCCAGAAGCATGAACCAAGCTGCATAAAAATTCTCTCCTGTTGATGCGAAATGTTTAATTAGATTTCCAGCCTCCCCCACTGAGTGAGTTTTCAAGTACCACATTTTCTGAACTTTTGAAAGAGGTTGATTTATTACCAGTTGCGAGAATAGGTCATGAAATCCTTGCCATTTTAAATAGGTGCCATCGAATTTTGGAATTATTATCTTCGGCAATGAAATGGATTGCAGTTTAATCGGAAGTAGGTTTGAAGATTGCTCAGTATGGGAGTCACTATTAGCTGCTTGCAAAGTACTCCATACCTTTTCCTCAAGTGAAATGAAGTTATCGACCTTGTAGTCCTGCTCGGTTGGGTTGTCGAACATCTCATATATCCTGAAGTGAATGTCTTCTATATTTTCCCACAGTTTATTAATTGTTGGAACACATTGTGGTGAAACGTTGTCGTTCAGTAACCGTCGCAACGAGGCCATCATTACCCCTTGTCTGCGAACTAGTTTAGTGTACTCGTCGGAAGCTGCATGTTTGGTTCCAGTATCATGCTGTGCTTCTGTGTTGACTTTTGAAGCTGAAGCATCATGTTGGTACGTATTTCCTTCATCAGTTGTTAAGCGCAATTCTCTCGTCGGGGTTTGAGCCAATTGGAGCACTGCGGACTCGAAAATCTCCTTGTACTGATTTACAATTTCCATTATATTGTTATAGTAGTCCTTTGTAAAGTAGTCGTGATCCAGCTGGGGGTTTTCAAGCAGTCGAAGTTTGTTGTCAGTTGTTTCAAACTTCGACCACTCGCTGTCCAGTCTTCTCAATCGCTCTTCGTAATAGCTGATTGACTGCTTCCTGGATTGCTGGTCCTTTTTAAAGTTTCGGACAATTGATTCGATATTGCCGCCCGTTTCTCTTTGTTGTCTGGCCAAAACCTCGAAACGATCCATTTTTCTTCTTTTAGATTAGTTTTGTGGCTCCTCAAACTGCTGCACTGGCCTTGTTTAAGCTGTTCGCCAATTTCGAACACTGTTGTTTGCTTGATTGCTTTCAAGTGATCTTTATTGAATTAATGATTACGTTTTTATGCAAACTAAATGCTTACGTAGCTAAATGGTTGGTTGCTTGGTTGTAGTGCTACCTAAGCTATCGCTCAGGAAACAATTAGCGCATAAAAGCGCCATTTTGGTGCACTTCTCGTGGACAATGATATTTTATTATGCCGTAGCCTACCTGTCAGAACATTCCAGCGGTTCAGTCAAACCATTTAGAACCGCTTATAAATTTGTATAAGTCGCCTATTGTAGCACTAGATAGATCCGTTAACTGCTCCACTATGTGTTTCCCGAAAGATTTATGTCTTAAGTGAACCAGGCCTGGGCATTCACACAGGAAATGAAATACTGTTTCTTCGCTGCCATCCAAGCCGCAGCTGCGGCATATTCTGTTGTATGGAAGACCTATTCTACATGCATGTTTTCCTAGCGGCCAGTGACCGGTGATAGTCGATACAATTCTAAATACTTCTACTCTTGACCTACTTAGCAGTTCTGCTGTTCTTTCCCTGCTGAAGTCAGGCCAAAGATCTCGTGCTATCTTGCAAGTTTGAATCTTTGACCACCTCCTCCTTGCCAGTTTCAGAAGATGCAGGTGGATTTCTGTTTGTATTCGTCTGAGGGGATAACCCAGTATCACCGCTACAGATTCATCCAAACAAGCTCCCGCCCTGGCCAGTTCGTCTGCTCTCTCGTTGCCTTCTATGTTCCTATGGCCGGGAACCCAGACAAGAGAGATGGACATTGACTGAGACGCTGAGCGTAACTCCATCTTGCATTCCTTGACTAGCTTGGACTTGGTTACAGTGGATGATATAGCCAGGAGTGCTGCCTGGCTATCCGAGTAAATAACCGCTCTTTCTTTCCTAGTAGCGCTATTCCTTAGTATTCTACAGGCTTCACAAATGCCCAGAACTTCAGCTTGAAATATGCTAGCATGGTTTTCCAGCCGGAGGGACCTATTGACACCAAGCTCCTCGGAATATACCCCTGTCCCTACACCGCAGTCCATCTTGGACCCGTCAGTGTAGATACAGATGGCTTCCCTATCGGCAGCTTGGCCCCTTTTCCATTCCATTCTGGATGGAAACCACACTTGTACATTCAAGCCAAAATCGAGGGTTGATACCATATAGTCCGTGGTTTTATTTCCTATCGAAGTGAGGCCTAAGATTGAGCTATGCCCAAAGGTTCTCGATCCCCACAGCCCCGACTCTCTGAGTCTTAATGCTGAGTACATCGCGGCTTCCTTTAGGCATAGATCAATGGGCATCATATTGAGGATTACATTCAGTGCTTCTGAAGGGCAGGATTTCAGTGCCCCAGTTGTCCCCGAGCATGCCGCTCTTTATAAGCTATTTAGTTTGCTGACATTGTATTGTTTGTCTAAGGCAGGCCACCACACTAGGGCGCCGTAGGTTAGGATCGGCCTTATGATAGCGGTGTACATCCACATCACAAGTTTCGGTTTTAAACCCCAGTTTCTATTGAAGATCCGTTTACAAGTATAATAAGCGATGTTAGCCCTCTTTTTACGTTTCTCAACGTTAATTTTCCAGTTTAGTTTGGTGTCTAGAATTACTCCCAGATATTTTGCGTTGGACGATAGGGGGATTGTCTTCCCGCCTATGGATGGAAGTCTAAATTGTGGTATCTTATACTTATTAGTAAACAGTAACAACTCAGTTTTGTCTGGATTTACGTTAAGGCCACTGCCTTTAGCCCACGTGTGTAGTCTACCCAGCGCTTTTCCTAGAATTTCACTTACAGTAGAGAGAAAAGGTCCTGTGACTGCTATCACTACGTCGTCAGCATACGCCACTACTTTAACTCCACCTCTGTTGAGTTCTAGCAGTATGCTGTTTAGTGCTACAACCCACAACAGTGGGTAGAGTACACCACCCTGGGGAGTACCACTACGCACATATCTAGTTATTAGACTATCTCCGCTTTTCGCCTGAATAATTCTGCTTTCTAGCATGGAGCGTACCCAGTCAACCACACCGCCGTCAACACCAACCCCCATGAGTGATTGGATGATGGTGTCAACTTCAATGTTGTTGAAGGCGCCCTCGATATCCAGGAAAGCGGCTAAAGTGTATTGGTTGAAGCGCAGTAATTTTTCTATGAGCCCCACCACTTCGTGCAAAGCTGACTCCGTCGATTTTCCTTTGATGTAATCATGTTGTGCTGTTGATAGGGATTCTTCCCCCAAGAACGATCTTATATATATATCTATTAGCCTTTCCAGTGCTTTAAGAACAAAGGAAGTTAGGCTTAGAGGTCTAAAGTCTTTCGCTGTTTCGTGGTTCTTCCTACCGGGCTTAGGGATGAACACTACTTTGACACGTCTCCAGCTCTGGGGGACATAGTTCATACTAATACAAGCTCTATAGAGGGTTTCAAGTAGCGGTGCTATGTGCTCCTTTACATTCTGTAACATGGCCGGTATTATACCATCTGGGCCTGGAGATTTAAAGGGAGAGAAACTATTTATTGCATAGATGATCTTTTCTTTGCTTATTATTGTTTCAAGTTCTCTATTTGGTATATATGTGGGTTCTTTCCCATCTGATGCTGCTGCATTCTGTTCACAGCCTGGAAAATGGAATTGAACTAGTGTTTCTAAAGACTCGTCCGTGGAGTTTGTCCATACATCATTTATATTTTTTATAAATGAGGGTTTAGTGTACTCCTTTGAGAGGATCTTACTTAGCCTAGCTGAGTCTCTTACATTTTCTATCGAGGAACAGTAGGTTTGCCAGGACTTGGCCTTTGCTATCCTTAGTTCCTTTTTATATGATTTTAACGCACTTTTGTAGGGCACCCAGTTCTTGGACCCAAAGCACTCGTTAAAAAGTTTTCTAACGTTATTTCTAAGAGCTCTAAGCTCCCCATTCCACCATGGCGGGGATTTCTTTTTCATGACACTCAGTGGGGTTGATCTTTCATAGGCTTTAGTCATCACCCCCTCTAAGTTGCTTACGTTTCGTTCTATCTCATCTATTGAGGTAATATTTTCTACCAGATTAACTTTAGTTAGTTTTCGCGTCAAGACTCTATTGTATTTCTCCCAATTGGTTCTGCGTGGGTTCCTGTATTTAGAGGGGGTGTAGGATACCCCGCGTAGATTGAAGAGTATCCAGCAGTGATCAGACACTGATGGCCTGTCGGAAACTCTCCAGTTCTCAACGGTAACGCCATCGTTCTCAGACAGCAACGTTAGGTCCAACACCTCCTCCCACCCAGGAAACCGGTCTGAACTTGGGAAGATAAAGGTTGGTCGGTTACCAGTATTGCAAATACTCAAACTAGTGTTTAATAAATAGTGTAGAAGTGACTCACCTCGCTCGTTTTCTGTTGTGCTGCCCCAAACTGGATGCCTGGCGTTTGCATCACATCCTATGACAATGGCTCGTCTGGGGTTCCGGTCTACTATAGTTTTGATTTCCGGTGGCGGACTGTCCCGTTCATGGGACATATAAGACGACACTAACAAGACATCCTGTTGTCCTGCCGTCTCCACCTTAGCTACTGTTGTGTCTGCTGTGCTGAAATTAGAGCAAAGGAATGCATTTATACCCTTCTTGATAAGAATACACGCCCGTGGTTTACCAACCTCGCTCTTGTAGAAGAGATTGTAATTGTAGATATTAAGGCCCATTACTTCGTCGTTCCTGACCCAGGGCTCCTGTATTAGGCTAATGTCGATGTCCTCTTCGCTGAGAAGTACGACTAGACTATCTGTAGCACACTTCGAGTGCTGCAGATTTATTTGGACTATCTTACTGGTCCGGTTCATCGCTC